TCTACATCATAACATCAATAAAAATCATTAAAGTACTTACTTTGATGCCTCGTACCTCTTTCTAATAACAAAATACACACGTTAGTAACTTCAAGGAAAATAATAAACAACAATTAAATCAAATAATTGAAAGAGATATTTGGGACCAAACCCTTAGAAATTAAACCTTTCACGTCTAGGGCGAAGGCAACTTCGAATATGGCTAGGTGTTTCTAGATCTTGTGAAAGCGGAATTTTGTATGTAAAAACAAGTTTAGAAAAAGAAAAAAGAGAGATAGAGATGATGAATGATTAAAAGAGAATGAGAGGATTAATGATTGCGAATGAAAACTGGTTGTAGGTGATTATAATTGAAAACTGGTCGTTGATGAATGAAAACGGAGTTTTTAATATGTTATTTATAGAGAAAATCAACCAAAAAGATAAAATATCAAAATAGAGCATCTGGCGCACCTAAAACAGAGCTGGCGCCAACGCTAGCTTATTGGCGCCAGCCGCCAGGCGCTAACCCTGTTTTTGACGCGTTTTCTAAAATCAGATAAATTTTGCCGTACAGGAGGATAAAATCGTATCTTCCTCAAAAATGCTCTTTGATTTTAATTAAAACTCTGAAAAGTCAACAAAAGTCAATTTATCAATGCTAATTGACTTAGGAATGAAAAGAACCTTCTATAAGAATCTAGAAGACTAAAATCATTCCTAATTACATTAGGAATGATAAATCATATTAGGTCCTCCCCTAGATCATTGGGCCGCATATAAGGCTCAAACCGGGCCCAGTTTAGTAAATTGGCCATAACTTCCTCAATATTCATCGGAATTGGGCTTATAATATATCGTTGGAAAGCTCTTGTCAAGCCTCATCCAACTACACTACTATTGGACCCATATCATGGACCAACCAAACTGGATTGGCTGTTTTCATAAAATAAGTTTTCAAAAACAGAGAAAAGAGAAGAGAAATTAAAACTATCCGCAACACTAAACTTTCCACACTTTCGCTTCATTCGATTATGATTCGACGTGAAAGGTACTCATCACTGGGTTTGGTTTTGGGGAGACACAAATGGGTGTCTACAGTAACTAAGAAAGATTACAAAAGAGTATTAAAACTAAGCTCGAAGATTAGCCAAATGGAAACTCCTAAGCCGCCTAAAAATACTCGCGCCCGATCGGGCGAAGGGCCGTTCGATCAGGGCCGCCTTTTTCCTTGAATGATGATTTCTATGTAGCCGCCCGATCGGGCCCGGATTTTGCCTTGGTCATCCTTGAGCTTATCTTCTAAATCTTTTGGGCTTCAAATGACGAGGCCCAACACCTTTTCTTGGTCCATTGCTCAAATCCATTTCACGAACCAATCCCTTAATCACTGATACGATCGGTTTTGGGCTATGATCAACGATCATAATGTGCTACAAGCTCCAATATCCCGTAGTGGCTGGAAAACCATAGGAAAAACCGATAAATCCGAAAAATTCCTACAAAACAAATGCCAACTCTACAAAAAACTAGAAACCGCACATTAGCGCTAAAAATAGTTCCGAAGAGCTCAAATAAGCATATAAATGACCGTGGGACGGGGGATAAAATAACATATAAAACACGAATATCATTAGGGGAGGCAGGCGGTCGAATTTTGGTCGGGCTGGGGGTTGGGGCTAAGTGGATGAAGGATGGTGGCTTGCTTGGAAGTTTTTTTTTTAATTATTTTAAAAATTTGGACCAATTATGTTGCGACACATCACACATGACTTTTACAAAATAAAAATCACCCTTTCTTTAAAGTGTGGAAGAAAATCAACCCAAAAGTTCATAGTGCTCCCTAATAAATGTAAGTTAGGATAATTCAGAGTAAATCGCTAAAAGTTTGGATTAATAAGTTAAAGTGAATTTTTCTAAAAAAAATAAAACTTAGATATTGGAAGCACCCAATATAATAGATCGAGAAGCGAAGACAAGTCGAATTGGAGGATGAATTGGAGTTGTTTGACTCTTGGAATTGCCCTTTTTTAATCTCTTTAGTTTTAATAAAAATGTGTTCCTTTAATGAAAGTGGTGTTACTTATGTTTGTTGGGAGATGTTGCAAAATTTCAATTTCAGATTTACATAAACCCTTGTTAAAGGAGGATGATAGTAGGTGTTGTTAAACCCATTTGTATGTGCTAACATTAAAAGTCATTACAACATCATAACCTTGTATGAGAATATATACTCCCGCCGTCCCACAATATATTTTTTGCTTTCCTATTTTAGATACCCAAAATGTTGTTCATTTTTTCTATTCACAAACTCTTAATAACATCCGATTTACACTAATTTAGTGTAAAATCGGGCTGGGCTAGGCAACTTCATCATCGAGAAAAACACCCACCACCGTCGCCACTCCCTTAGCTTCTCCCAAGAATCCGGCGTCCCCCTCCGATTCGACCTTGCTGACCACCCCCATCCCCCGATTCCAGCGCCACTGACCTCCCCCCATCCCCCGATTCCGGCGTCAGTGATTTGGAGGTGGGTGTCAGTGATTCGAGGAAAGAGAGAGAGGTCGAGATGATAGAGAAACGGGTAACGACGAAGGACGCAAGGGAGGAATTCGGGTCGGAGGAGTTTGGCGGATCTTCGGAGGGGCTGTTGTTCTCAAGCTTAATTGATTTCGCCATTAAAGGAGAGAGAAAATGGAGGAAAATATTTGCTAATTGTAGAAGAAAATGGTTGAATTTTGAAGAAAGTGAATATGATGGAGGATAATTGTATTGTATTGTTGGGAAGAAGGTGGTAAGTGGGAGAGGGTGTGATATCATCTGGGACTGAAATTGCAACTTCAAGAACACAACTTCCGAAACTGAGAGGTGACGATTGCTATAGAACAAAAACTTTTGCATTTTGTGTTTATTTTTTTTATTTTGATACTCTGTTTTTGTGAGAAAAAATGTCACTTTTGTGAAAAAAAAGGGGTCACTTTTGTGTAAAAAAAGGGTAACTTTTGTGAAAATATAGGTCACTTTTATAAAAAAAAAGGGTCACTTCTGTAAAAAAAAAAAAAAAGGGGTCACTTTTGTGAAAATATGGGTCACTTTTGTAAAAAAAAAGGGTCACTTTTATAAGAAAAAAGGGTCACTTTTCGTAAAATGTTCGATGTACAATAAAATTATTGTAAACCGGGGGCATGCAAAAGTTTTTGTTTTCTATTTTGAATAGTATGTAAAGACCATTATACCCTTATTTTTTTTTACTTTATTCATTAAACTTCCTAATTTACCTTTAATTTATCCACTTGCATTGTACTTTTTTCACTTTATCTCTCTAAATTTTGTCTACACTTGTACTTTTCACTTTTTTCCCCTTAAATTATCCACTTGCATTGTAATTTTGTCTAACTTTTTCCACTTCTCCTCTCATTTCTTAAATACCGTGAAAAAAAACACAATAGGAACTACATTATGGGACGGAGGAAGTATAAGATATGGTATTGTCAGATCGCAAAGAAATGTGATTGACATGTATGCAACATAGATTTTAAGAGGATTTTATCCATTTGAATTATTAGGGTCCCTTAGGGTAAGGCATACTGATTTTGGTTATCTCCGTCATTTTAGCAACATTCATAGACTTTTAATTGTATGTTAGAAAATACCTTGCACAACACAAAACATCATCACCAACTTCCCTCGTTCTATCAATAGTCCCATCACATGTTTAAATGTATATTGGTAAACCTTATATGCGTCGTCCTCACTTGTTGTAATAGCTTAAAGGTAAATCTCGTTAATGACCTTAATTAGTACTTCGTATTGTGTAAGGGCTTCTTATGCCAATAGTAACTTATGTTACTTTATTGTTCTTTCGTTTGTTGTAAACTCAGTTTAATTATTCCCTCCGTGTTTTAATATGTGTTACAGATTGACGGGCACATAGTTTTAGGCAATCTAATTTACTTAAATAAAATTAGAGGTGAGTAGGGTAGTTGGAGTATTAAAAAATTATAAAAGAAAGATAATGAGGTTACTAATTTATTGAAAAGTAATGAATTTGAGAAGAAATATATAATAAAAAAGTAATAGTGGGTTTGGGTAAGGACCGTGAGAAGAGAGAGATATAATATTTAAAGTAGTTTTTAGTTGTTTTTTATAAAAAAAATAATCTAAAAAACTTACAAAGAATTGATACAAGCTTTGGTGTATGGAAATATTTAAAAAAATTTAAAACATGTTTACTTAAAACCTTTAAACTCCACCTGTCTCATAATTAGTCGATCACTAGGTTAGATCTCGTGCTATGCAGGGTAATTTGTACCATTTATCATTAGTTTAATATTGTGTTTAATTAAAAAAATTTAAATGTAATTGCAAAATAAAATGAAATTTTTGTAATTACAAAGTAAAAAGAAAATTATATCATACTAAATAAATACACAAAAAATTAAGGAGTATTACATACACAACTAATAAAATAATTATGAATTATATACATAAAAAATTTATATATAGAAAAATATTATTTTATGGTATATAGTACTTGCATTAAATAAAAGAGTAATATATTTGTCGAATGTGTATAAATAAAATATACTTAATTCATAGGAAGGGATTAATTACAATGTAATAATACTCCATATTAAGGCCCTGTTCAGTTCACTTTATTTTCACTTTTTTTTTTAAGACTATTTTCACTTATTTCAGGGTTAATAAGTTCAGATAAGGGTTAATAAGTTCAGATAAGATAAGCTCAGATAAGATAAGTTCAAGAAAAATAAGTTCAGATAAGTTGTGATAAGGGTTAATAAGGGCTACCAAATTTAATTTATAACTAAAATAAGTTCTAATAAGGGCTAATAAGTCAGATAAGATAAGATAAGTTCAGACAAGTTCAGATAAGTTAAGATAAGATCAGATAAGTAAAAATCAGGTGAATTGAACACACCCTTAATATTCACTAGGAAAAACAAAATAACTTGTCGCCAAAAAAAAAAACAAAAAAGCTTTCGAGGAAATTTTTTTAACAAATGGATGACAAGTGTCATTTCTGGTTTATCATTTAGTATATAGCTATAGATAGTCGGTCATTGATTTTTTCTACGTAGATATTGTTCATCAAGGTAATTTGCTTGGCAAAAATAATTAATAAATCTTATGTTGATAATCTATATGATATTTTCCCAAATATGTGATTGTTTATTATTCTTTCTATAACTAAAGATTTAGACAATTAATTTATTACAATAAAAGTCGTTATTTATAAAAGATTTTCTAGAAGGAAATAAAAAATAAAAAAAATTATTTTTAAAAATCTTATGTTGATAATCTATATGATATTTTCCTAAATATGTAATTGATTTTTTTATTCTTTATATAGTTAAAGATTTAGACAATAATTAATTTATTACAATTCAGGTCGTTATTTATATTTAAGTTAACTTTTTTTTTTTTTACCTCTTTAAACTTTAATTATAACATATTTTCTAAAAGGAAATAAAAAAAATTATTGAAGGACACACCAGGGTAAAAATAATTTAAGGGCCTGTTCTAATCAGATTAATTTCAATTCACTTCAGTTCAACTCTAATAAGTTCAGTTCAGTTCAGTTGAATTCAGTTTATGTTTAATGATATTCCTAATCCAAATTTCATACTTTTAAGCTTATATTACAACAACAACGACAATAATAATAATAATAATAATAATAATAATAATAATAATAATAATAATAATAATAATAATAATCATAATAACAATAACAATAACAATAACAATAACAATAACAATAACAATAATAATAATAATACCATATTTCACTTAATGACTATTATACCATATTTCATTATTTGACAAGTTAGGAGTAAAATTAGGATCAAGTTAGTTTTTAAATAAGACCAGCACAACTCTTTGTTTTGTTTTGTTTTTTTTTTTGTTTTTTGTTTTTTTTTTCATTTTGGGAATTTTTTAAAAAGGTGTTTTGTGTTCTTTTATCATTTTAATATTTTATTTTATTTTTAATTATATAGTATATATTTTTAAAATGTTTTGGGGTTCTATGTTTTTAATATATTTTTCATAAATATTTTAATTATATAGTAATTTTTTTTAAAAATATTTTAATATGTATATATGTATATACACATATATATAATAATAAATAATCAAAGATAATTAATTCATAGTTAAATATCACTAATTAAGAAGTTCAATAATAAATAATCAACCTTTTGAACTAGTTATTGATTAATGAATTATTGATTGATTGATTGATTATTGATGATATAAAGACCCGCCCATTTATTTATCAGACGGATCCAACCCATATTACTTTGGCGGGTCATAGCTTTTAAAGGCCTCCGTTCCTATTTCCTACCTCTCTCAAACTCTCAGTTATTCGTTGAAGCGCACTAGACAACTCGAAGGAGCTCGACCGCCTTAGGAAAGAGCAGGAAGATGTTTTGTCTGATATTAATAAGCTTCATAAGAAGCTCCAAACCAGTGTGTTATTACTCTCTCCTTTCAATTTCAGTATATGATTAATTTCACAATTTTTGCCTTTTATTTTATTATGATTTGTTTTATGTTTTTTGTCAATATTATATTTTGATCAATTTCATTTTAATTTAGTTTATTGAAATGTAGAAGGTAAGTCTTATTTGTTTCGTGCTGCTTAATTTTTGGTTGGAAATTAAAAAGCATTATCGAATACTAAAATTTGGTATTATAGAGTGGCCGGTAAGTATGGTTGTAAAGTTGGAACATAAATATGTGATCAACTCCTATGTGTTTGGTTTGGGCTTAAGAATTATATGGTACCGTTAATGGTGGTATCATTTTCCAATAGTTGTTTTTATCTAACATGGATACATGTTTAAGTGTCGAACATGGGTATTTTTGTTGTAATTTTTTCTATGATTTTGGCTTAAAGATGAAGTGTCAGAGTTACTTATAAATTCCTGTTGAAGGATATCATAAAACTTTGTGATAAAAATCCCTTTGTGGTTGGATGGATACTTGTTAATGCTTGATGATGAAGTGTAACTTTTAATTCTTTACAAGTGATATTTTTCGGGTCTTGGCTTAGACACCAAATGACCTGCACATGATATTGCTTTGGCTAAATATGTGGAATCATGAGAAGTATTTCTTAACATATGAAAATTCTCTTAGGATATCGTGGGGTGCTATCCTTAGAGGGTTTCTTGAATAATGTCTTACACTTTTTATACAGATAGGTCCTATGCGACATATTAAGGTTTATATTTGGAGAGTTTTATAGTGAGATATTTTGTACACTTTGTATAGAGGTCTTTCTTGTTGTAGCAAGTAGAACAACCTTTATGTCCGTTTTGTTCATCTTATTTTCACTTATTCCATGTCTAATAAGTTTAGATTAGGGTTAATAAGTTGGGTAATAAGCTCAAATAAGTTTAGATAAGTGCGTTAGTTTTAAAAAGCGCAAGGCGCACCAAGGTGCAAATGGTCCTTGCAACCTAGGCGCAAGGCGAAGGCGCGCGCCTTTTGTATGCAAGGCGCATGTATTTATATATTTATTTCAAATTATTTTTTACTTTGTTTGTACTTAATACCAATTGAAAAGATTCATAATAAATTAAGTAAAGATATATTTAAAGGTAAGGTAGTCTAAATTTGAAAAAATGTCCATCATTCTTCAATTTATTACTTAAATCTTAGTTATTTTCCTTGAGGCGCAAAGGCGCGCCTTACCAAAGCCACTTTGAGGTGCACGAGGCACGCGCCTTCCGTAGGTGACTAAGCCTCACCTAGCTAAAGCCCATTTCCCATAGCCTGGGAGTGAGGCGCGCCTAGACGCGACCGAGGCGCGCTTTTTAAAACCAAGGGGCCGCTGATAAGGTTACTCAAGTTCAATGTATAAATAAAATAAGTTCTTACAAGTTCAGATAAGATCAAATAAGTTAAGATAAGATCAGATAAGTTAAAATACAATGAAGTTGTTTATCATATAAATAGACCCATGGAACTTTTTGGGAGTATTATGCAAGAGATAAATTGCAAACACATGGTCAAGTTCATTTATAAGCTCTCTAGTGTTAACTTTATTTCACTTGTTTGTAATTCAATCTTTTATCCTTTCTTTCACTAGTATGAAAATTTATAAGCTCATGTGATTATGTGACCTTATATGGCCTTGATGTGTTGGGTTATACATGATTGATTGAATGAAAGATTTAGTCATGTACCAGTTTCACTTTTAATTCTATCTTTGCATTTTTTGTTGCTGTTGAGTTAGGTGTATTGCAGTCTCTTGGAATTGTTTTAACAAATTAGAATGAGTTTGCGGTTGTGAGCAAGTATATTGTCCATCTTCTTTAGATATTATAAGAATGAAAACAAGTAAAAAAGCTAACTGTTGTTCAATTAACGTAATGCAATAGACCCTCCATTTGTAAATCACCGACATATTCTACATACATGTAAATGATGTAATTTAGGAGAGGTAGGAAAAATAGTCGAGTTGGAGTTGCATATAAAATTGCCGACTACACAAATGAAACAGATCCCAAAGAAAGTGGATTTAACAATCATAAACAGCAAATTGCTTCTATTATCACATGGAAAACGCTTAAATAAAAGGTAACAATGTAAGAAGGTAATTTGAAATTTTCTATTTTTTTTTCTGAGCTACTTGTTGATGTTTTGTAATTAAAAGTTAAAATACTGTTGAAGGTGCTTGGTTTTGTTAGTGAAAAGTTGGAACTCTGGACATTTTTTCTAAAGAATAAAAATGATTAATTTGGTGCAGACCCAGAAGTAGTTGAGAAGCCTGGGGACACATCTTTATCGAAGCTTAAGCATTTGTACACCAATGCTAAGGAACTGGCTGAAACTGAAGTGAGGTACATCTCGTTACCTACATGTTAACAAGCATTTTGCCTAAGCTTTAGTATGAAAGCTTACTTTTTGATAATTTTAGAAGAGCTGACTACATGTTCAAACCCTACAGAGTATCAGGTATTTTAATAAATCAGCTGGATAGTTTGCTCCCTCCTGGGCAGCAACGAAGAAGAGTAGGTATGTACATTATTCATCCATAACATCTTGACCTTTTCGCTAAACATCACTCTTTTAAAGCCCTAATGTGTGTCTAAAGACTGAAGCAACAACATAATGCAAATTTTTTAAAAAATGAAACAACATAGGATAGGACATGGCCAAGATATGTTTTGACTTATATATTCATTAATATTCCTTTTCAGTCCCCAAATAAATGTCCTAGTTACCCAATAATTTTGTCCCTAAATAAAAAGTATCATTTCATTAATTCTTTTTTCTTTTTTTTTTTTCAATTGTTTTGGTTTCATATTTTTATTCTTTCTCTCAAACTCCTTGTGAATTGTGATACTTCTTTTAAAAGGATGATAATATATGATGCTTGCCCACTTTTTTTATTTTTAAAATTCTTATTTTTCACCTTTACTCAACCAAACCTCGTGTTTTTGCTTTCCTAACAACATGTGGAAATATTAATTGGGACTTAGTGTGTGCGTTGTGGGTGTACTCCCTTGTGGAGTGTCATGGAAGAAATAAATTTACTTTTTGTTTAGCATTAAGTATTCATTTTGTTAAAAACCAAGAAAATAGAAAGGAAATTTTGTCGAAAACCACCTTATATAACACTTCTTTTGGAAAAAAACCATCTTATAATATTTTTTTTTTTTTTTTTTTTTTTTGCGAAAATACACCTTAATCATAATTTTTTTGTGTGAAATAACACCTTATGCTGAAGCCCATTTAAGTGGCACGTGACCTCCAAAACACCCCAAAACACCACCACCCTAAGGTTGACCTCCAAAACACCCCAAAAAACCCTATCCACCCCCGCCAACCTAACCCTCTTAAATTACCGCGCCGGCACCACCCAATCCCCTCCTTTTCCCTAAACAACCCTCCCTCCACCGTAAAACCCCTTCCTCCCTCGAAAAACCCTCCCCTACCGGCCGACACCCTAACCCCCTCCCCACCTTCGGCAAACCCATTTCGCCCCTCCTCCAGTTGTCTCCGCCCTTTGCCTCCCTTAAACCACCACCCTAAAACCCTAAATTGAAACCCATATTTTTTATTTTTGGGTTTTAGATTTAGGGGAGGAAAAGGGGCGGAGAGAGCCGAGGGAGGGGCGAAATGGTTCGCTGGAGGTGGGTAGGGGGTTAGGGTGTTGGCCGGTAGGGGAGGGTTTTTCGAGGGAGGAAGGGGTTTTACGGTGGAGGGAGGGTGGTTTAGGGGTAGGGGAGGGGGATTTACGTTGGGGGGAAGGGTTAGGTGGTGCCGGCGCGATGATTTAAGGGGGTTAGGGTGGCTTAGGTGAGGTGGTTGCGGGTGGTGGTGGTGGTGTTTTGGAAATCACGTGCCACTCACATGGGGTGGTCAACGTAGGATTCCGGCATAAGGTGCTATCTCGCAAAAAAATTACGTTTAAGGTGTGTTTTCGCAAAAACAAAATTATAAGGTAGTTTTTTTTTTTTCAAAAAAAAGTGTTATATAAGGTGGTTTTCGACAAATTTTCCTAATGTAAAACTGTTTCCTTATTTCTAATTTTGAGTTGCAGAAGGTAATGAGCAAAAGAAGAAACAGAAGAAAAATGATTCTGATATCCCAAGGGTCTCTCCTTCCATGAGAAACCAACTTGATAACTTTGCTAGTTTGAAAGGTGAACAGGTATATGTCCGTAATACTTTATACTGTACATTGAATTTTTAGTTTTAAATAGTTTTTTTCTTAAGATCTTAGTAATGTGTCTTCAGGTAGCAGCTAGGGTTACAACAGATGAAACAGAGAAGGATGAGTATATTGTGGTGAAAGTGATGCATTATGACAGGGAAACAAAAGAGTGAGTTAAATCTTACTTATAAGACCTTGTTTTGAATGATTTGTTATTTTCCTTTGCTAAATTCAAAGTTTATATTATGCCATATTGTACCTGCAAAAGCTATTTTTGTTTCTCTATAGATGGCACCACTAATTTAGGAGTAAAGATTACCATAACTCAATTAATTAATTAGGATATCTTTTGGGTGAGCACCTTGGCATTTGTGCATGATTTCTCCATTTTCTATATAAGTCCTCTTGAGCATTATATTTGGGCATGATATCTTGGTGTTCATTGCACCCTTGCACAAGTGTACAGGTAGGAAACTTTTATGGTGTTTTCTTGATGAGAAGTAACACAGGATTTCCTCGTGTGATTGAATGGGTGATGGATGATTCATATTTCAAAGGAGAACATTTCAAATGATTCTATAGGTACATGGCATTATGGCAATGAGAGGAGAGAACTAAGAATGAGATGTTAAGTAACTTAAAAACTATCTTTGGCCATAGGAATGGGAATGGATTAAGGGGATGAAGTGAAAGTCAAAGGCCTATATCCCCAATATTCTCCTTTTGGAGGAGACAAGGTTTTGAATTGAGGTTTTGGTTGTAAATGTAGAGGTTTTGAATTGTGGTATTGAATGCAAAATCTAAAGTATGAATGTAACAGCTAAAGTACTAAGCAAAGAATGATAATAAATGTAACAACTAAAGTACTAAACAAAGAATGATAGAACTGTTGATCTCCCAAGGGTTTAAGACCTCAGGTTGAATACTCTCCAATTTCAAAGAGCTAATCACAATTTCTTGAATGCTTTGTTTATTCTCTCACCTGACCCATTCTATGATGAATTCTATGATGATTTCTCAGTTTCTTTTTTGTACTCTACATTTATCTGTCTCAAGGTACATCACTTGCTTGCTAATATAATTATTTAGGGCTGCCCATTTTACCCTTTTTGGTACCTGCTGTAGGCAAACTTTATGGCAGGAGGGTGTTGGTGCTTAGGTGGATGCAAAACACATATCTATATTATTATTTTAAAATTGGATTAATGATTGATGGGCAAACCCCTAATACTTACTTTTCAACTATGTCACCTCATACTCACTTATAACTTTAAAAGGCAACAAATTTATTAGATGCCCAATCATGCACCAATAAGTAAGAGAAAAGAGAAATTGCTCCGATTATCTTCAAATAGTACCAATCAAAAGTTAAAAGAGGAAAAATATTTTTAAGATATTGAAATGTATTTGGAAAAAAGAACCATTAAAAAAAGGGAAATAAAAGAAAACAATTCAAGAAAGTTAATTTAATATAAATCAATGGTATTCTAGGATGAACAAAAATAGAAAATTAAGAATATAAAAAAGTGGGAAAAGAAAAAAAAGGAAATATCAATTAATATAATTGTGAAAGGCAACCAAAATGTTCATTTTTTATATCGGTCACTCATACTTAATGGGAAAAGGAAAATAAGTCACTATGATTTAAACAATATCTCCATGAATGAGACAAATTACATGTTGAAATTAAACAGTAATGCAAGCAAAGTATGAAGGATTCAACACTATTAAGGAAGGATCATAAAATGATTCTTGAAATTCTCACATACATTTACCATTATTTTTTCTTTGAAAGAAACAGACATGATATTATCAATTGTACTCATATATTTAGAGATGAATTTTGAAGCAATATCTAGCGGACGTCTAAATAATTTATGCTACATGTTTCACAAGAAAGAAATTAATAATTTATTTGCATCATTTCTGCCAGTGAGTTGTAAAAAAATATATTAGCATGTGACTTCCTTCTTTGAAAACATTAATTATGATGTTGGTCAATAAGTTTTTGTTGCAAAATGGTTATTTGATTTGCGGTTTTTGTTTGTTTGTTGAAATTTTAGTCTAATATAAGGAGAAGTAAAGTTTTTTTTTTTTTTTTTTTTTTTTTTTAAAATATATATAATTTAGTATTATTAATCATATAAGCACAATGATTATGAGAATTAAGTAAAGATTTTAAAAAAAAATGATTTAGGACCTATCATATTATACCAATTAGTCTGCTCAAAATTCACATTATAAAATTTTATGTGTTAATATATATGTTCTTTTTTTATTATTTTTTTTTATTTTATACATTATACTATTTTTAGGATGATTAGAAATTAAAAATTAGTTGCTTATACAAAATGGTATATGATTGTTATAGTGTTGTCGTCGTATATCTTTCTTCCCCTCGAATTACCCCCCCAATCCCCAACCGCCCTTCCCACACCCTCAAAACCTTAGCTGCTAGGGTTTTTTAGGGTAGGGATAAAGGGCAGTGGTGGGTTTTGAAGGGGGGTGTTTTTAAGGTTTTTCGGAGGGAGGGAGGTGGGAATCGGGTGATGAGAGGATGGGTGTCGGGGGGTTGCCTCGTGGCGCTGGCATAGGGGTGGGGGTAGGGGGTAGGGGTGAATGTTGGTATCTGGTTTGGATTTTGTTTCAAACCGAATCCAAACCGAAATAATTCGGTTTTGATATTTTCAAATTGAAACCAAACTGAACATATTTTAAACCGAGCCAATCCAAACCGAAAATTTTAAAATGTAATTCGGTTTCAAACCGAAAACCGAATTAGTGTTGCTTTTTTCTCGATAAAATTAAAATTATAAACAAAAGTAGACAACCAAATTTATAATTAATAAATCTAAAAAAAATCAGTACAAAAAGTAAATACAACTATGATAATTAATAACATGAATTACAACACTAATATCTACAAGAATACTATAATTTTGATGAGAGATCATGCAAAAACACTTCTTGCTCTTCTCGTGGCCAATTGATCTGTAAATTTAAAATATAGTGCAAAAACACAAAAAATTGATGAGAGAGATATGAGAGGTAAGAGATCTAAGATTTTATACAAAAGAAAAAAATTGCACACATGAAATTCGTTTGAATTATAAACCTAATAATACAAAAAAAAAAAAGGAACATGTAATCAAATTTCATCGAATGAACTAAAAAAATAAGTAACTTGCCTTTTAATTAGAAGAAATGTACCAAAAAAAATTTGTTCATCGGAGTTTCGAGATGCGACTTTATAATTTTGATGGGAAATATTGAAGTTTTTGAAAGTTTGAAGAACAATTGATATTGAGAGGAGAGAGACTAGAGTGACTTGAGTGAGAAAATTGAGAGGAAAGAGGAGATGCGTGAAAGAGGGAGGCAGTGAATGAGGAGAGAGAAACTGATAAGGGACTTAGGGTTTTTTTAGGTTTATATATGAGAGGTTTCATCTGATGGGCTTTTAGGTTAAAGAGGTATGGGCTTATGTATAAATGGGCCAGAAGTTCGGTTCGGATTTCAGTTCTTTAAATCCTTTAACCGAAACCGAACCGAAACCGATTTTTTTTATTTTTTTCAAACCGAACCGAAACGAATAGGAAAAAAACTGAACCTAATTGTTAATTCGGTTTGGATTTCGGTTTTTTTCCATATCATTTTCACCCAGCATTAGTGGTTGGGGTGGGTGGCCGACCAATTGCGAGGCTTGGGGTGGTCGACAGATTGGGTTAGGGAAGAGTTGGGTTGGGATAAAGTAGGGGGTGAGGTGGGGCCGTGGGGGGCAAGTGTTATGGTTTTTGTTTTTGTGTTTTTGTGTTTTTTTTTTTTTTTTTTTACCAATTAATTTGTGCCTGTTACTTTATAAAAATTAAAAATTAACCCTTTCAATAGGACATCAGACACTGTGCTTTATAGAAGAAAACACCCCATAAAGTTGGGTTTACTAAAAGAAAATTGACCAGTTGGGATTATCAAAACCAAAAATTCCATCTTTTTTATATTGACATCAGTTTTTCAAACAAATTTTCATTATAGCTAAGTTAAAACATCATGCATTAGCACGGGCACATGCTAGTTTCTTGAATAAAAATTTAAAGAATTATAGTATAGGCAACTTAAAAAGTGTTGAAGCCTTGTGGTTGCTATGGTAACAAAACAATAAATACTTTTTCAAGGAAAATGATTAGTGTTTAAAAATATATTGTAGGGTCTTGAAATGACACTTAGTTTTAGTAGCTAATTGTCATATCATGCAGTTTTCATGGTCCATTAAAGTTTTCTGTGATCGCTTGCACTTAGTCATTGTCAACACTTGTTGCTTGTTATTTTCTGCAGTTTTAAACAATTTGCTACACCTGCTTCACCATATTTAAATTCTCCATTTTTCCTATCTCAGATTTGAAGTGCTTGACGAGGAACCTGGTGACGATGAAGAGGGTGGTGGGCAAAGGTAGCTGACTTCATATCTGTTCCTGGTTGGTTTGATATGTCGAATCATGATACTTCACTACCTTCATGAATGTCGGCTTTTACCATTCTAAATGCTCTGGGGAATGTGAACTGATTGCATGCCTTTTCCTTTAAAAAATTCTTTACTTGGTAAATAAAGATAAAAAGGACAGGCAAATTTATTTTCTTTCACCGTCGTAGCCTACACAGACTACTCGTTGGATCCACAGTGTGCAGTATTTTAATTTCAACCATTCTATATCATGGGAACTCATTACTTTTGTTAGATACTTATCGAAAACTTCCCTGGAAAACAGGATGTTTTCATTAACAATGCATAAAATCAAATTATAAAGATACCTGAAAAATAGTGGACTATTGCAAGAAAATTTAGGGCCCATTTGGTATCATTGCCAACTTATGGTACTTTGCATATTATTATAAAAAGTGGATTTGTATAGGTTGTATATTGAATTTTATTTAGTCATTCTTCTCTTAAAAATCGAATACTGAATAAAAATGATAAAGTAAGGCCCTAAAGTTCCATTTACATTATTCCACTGAAACTTGGACAATCTAAACTCTAAAATGTTTCATTTTTCCAATGTTGAAGTTGATATTTAACGATTTCGTACTGACTGAAAAATGATGACAAACTCCTAGGAAATTTATAGTCCTAAAATTATCTCAAAATGCCTTATCCTTTTCTGTTGGGCACAGTGGGGAACTGTGGTCAATCTGGGAGCTTGAAATATCAATTTCTTGTGTTGGTCTCTTTTTGAGTGTTTGAGTGGATTTTGGTAAGTATTACGTATTGCATCTGCAATCGGGATAAGTGCTATTGTAAACTGTCAATGTCCATAAAACCATATTTTTCATGTTTTTGGAGCTCCTGAATTTTTGTTTAATTCCAAGTCTTGTTGTGTTTTAAACTATACCCTAGTAAGAGGTCATTGTTTTGAGGTAGGCGTTCAATGTCTTTCTTTGAATCAATTATAACTATAACTCATTTTTGCTGTGAGTTGTTAATACTTAATACTGAGGTAAGTATCTGAATCTTAATTTTGCAATTGAAGTATAGACATCTATTGAAAGAAGATTCTACCACAATTACCATCGAATAATGCTGTTTAAAATGTATTTTGACTGATTACTTATGAGGTTGATTTGGCTAGCGATGTATTAGGTAATCTGATAATTGTGCGAAAATGTAAATATAGTGACTGTTATGTTCTATTGCAGTCCTGAAACCATGTTTAAAGGCACCATAAGCTTCAGCAATATTATCACCATGTTCTCTACAAAATGCTTCCCTTTTTATTTTATTTTTTAATTTGGGTGGGGTGGTGTGGTGTTCTTACTGTTATAGGGTGATTCTAGTGTGGTCGTATGACTTTCTAGTACCAAAACTTTTAAAAATGAATGACTGAGATTTAATGGTTTATTTATTTATTTTTTAAATAAAATAATTTTTATTTATTTATTTTTTAAAATACATTTTGTATTTTTGAAATTCTTTTTTAAATTTTCTAACTTAATTAAAAACAATTTCAAAAATGATAAAAAAAATTCTGAAAAAAAAATGTATTTTTAAAAATAAAAAAAAAATTATAATTAAATAAACTGTTTAAAAATTAATAAAAGTAATTAAATCTCAGCCGTTCATTTTTAAAAGTTATGGTAGTCGAAAGCATAGGACTACACTAGAATTTTCAATTGTTATAACCATGATGCTGTTTTTAATCAACCCTTAATTTAATAAGTAGCTTACTTCAATTACATTATTACTGACAAAATTACCGCTTAATTAGTCATCACAAGTCCATCATATTAAAAGGCTGAAAAATTGCGAATGATTGACTCCATTAGAAATTGACAAGTGTTGAAGGGATTGGACTTGTGTATTCATAGGCTGATTAATAAATTGTTCTGGTTCAAAGATAAGAAACATAAAATAGGTTTTGAGATTTGTAAGCCTTGTTGATTCATGGAAGCTTCAATTGTTGTTCTAATGTGCCTAATGCGATTTTAGATTCATGACAATTCTACTTCAAATGAACATGCAGGCTTCTGAAGCTTGCCTCATATTTTGTAAAATAGGAATGTGTACCTACGGTGATCAGTTAACCAATTATCAGTTTAAGGGCTAAGCTGTACCTCTTATTGGTGAATATTATTCTTAACCAAATCTATTGGCTTCATTGCGGTGAACAGTTAATGATTTAGCTGCGTATTATGTTTCCCTTTTGTTTTGAACCCCATGATGCTGTTGTCCTGCATCTGGGCTTTTATTCACTTTTCTTTTAGATGCTGATTTCTCCTTTGTTTGACTTGCAAATCATAAGTGCTTTCTTATAGAAGTTCTGATTGAATTCAAAAGTAAAATGACGCGCCCGCGTCGGGGGGGGGGGTTGACATAAGATTCTTTACACACTGCATTTGTGGACACGTGGAACGACTTATTTCTAATTTGGTGGGGGAGGGGGATTCCGTACTGTTTCACTTTTTGAAATTTGATTTAGTGAGAACGACTGGAACGACTTTCTGAAGTGTCATAGCTTCCAGGCCTGGAGTTTATGATGCATGGCTGAGGTTGATATAATCTTCATTACACACTGCACTGTGGACACTGGAATGACTTATTTCTTTCTTTTTTTTTTAGAGAGAGGAGGGGGTGGGGGGGGGGGGCAGGGGTACGTACTGTTTCACTTTTTGAAGTTTGATTTAGTGAGAACTTTTGAAGTATCATAGCTTCCAGGCCTGGATTTACCGCAACTGCTTTCTTTTTCCTTGTATATTTGCAGTGGAGCTAATTGCTTCCTCTTTTATTTCCCTGCTTAGATTGCATGTTTTACTTTTGGTATGTATTTGAATGATACTAACCATTTTGGTCAATTGTGTGTTTTGCATATTTAAATCAAATTGCTTTTCCCTTGTATAGAAAATATAAGCTTCCTGCATCACATATCATACCTTTCCCCAAACGGAATGATCCTTCTACTGCCCTGGACTTCCCTCCTGGCAGAGCAGTTTTGGCTGTGTATCCTGGTACAACAGCATTGTACAAAGCAACCGTAGTGAATCCAAATCGCAAGGTATATCAAATCAATTGTTATTCTGGTTTCCTTATTTCCAAAAAATTGCAGCTTCTTAATATCTAATCTAAGAAGCCAAATATCATGGAATGTATCTGACTGAGATTCGCTATATATCACTGTTTCTTGGTGTGGTGTTATTGCGGTCGATATTACCTTTTCCAGAGGAAGACCGATGAGTAAGTTATCTGTCTTGCCTCTTCAAGTTTTTGAATTTTAATTTGGTGAATGGATTGAATATGCAGATTTCTATGTTTTGCTAGAAGAAACTAAGAAGGACAAGAGATGCTAATGTAGAATGATCTAATATGTAGATGCAATTGAGAAACTATGAAATTGTTGTACTTCTGCGGTGTTATTTGTTATAATTTATTTATTTTAGGTTTGGGGAGGGGTGTCTTAGACGGAGTAGGAGAATAATCTGCTGCTTCGATATTGTTACCCCAAATTTCAAATGGAAATCTGAATTTTCTGGTTAGCTAAAATAGTAGAATCAGAATGTGAAACAATTTTTAATGCCATTTGAGTCTGATCTTGTCAAATAATATGTTGATATAGGGAAGTTAATTAGTTTGCTCAGAAGAACTTAATTATATTTGATTTGTATATCTGATATCTCATAGATGACTGATTCCAGTTGCAAATAAACTGTTTTGGTGCAGTTATCTCCTTGAGTTTGATGATGATGAAAGTGAAGATGGATCCATGCCAAAAAGAACAGTACCATTTCATAACGTGGTTGCCTTGCCAGAAGGACACCGACAATGATTATTATTCGCTCCTTTTTATTGAATATTATAACTATTCAAACGAATAAGGCAATGTTTGGGTTTATTCCTGGAGTGTCTTGAGGTAGCAGAAAGGGCATGGCCTGCCTATTATGATGCTGTCTTTTTTTTTTTTTTTTTTTTTTTTTTGACGGATATTATGTTGCTGTCTTGAAGCTATGGTTGTGAAGAAGGTGAAACATCTAGATTTTCGTGCATTAGAGTGGTTACAACATAAAATTTTACACAGATTGGAGCGTTGCATGAGGAACTTCCTTTCTTTCACTTTGTGTTTCATACTAAAATTGTGGTATTAGCATTCACTGTCAAACATTCAGGAGCTAGAGTCAGAAATTTCTTCTCAAATCCTTGTTTTGGTAAGTGTCATTTGTGGTTAATTATAATTTGAAATTGGCGTCAATGTGATTTAATTTATTGTAATTGATTATTTCTTACTTGAAACCATTGCTTATGAAAGATATGATCTTAAAATTTGTTGTTATAGTCTTTGTCATTCATATTGCTGTTTACTTAAAGACAAGAGCTGACAAATTTCAACTTCTACTGTTTCGAAGTTATATCTCATCTCTTTTTTTGCCTTAAAATTTTATTATGGTTGGGAGTTTGGAGATAAGCTGCCTCTTTCATTTTGGTTTTGCTACAGTATATGCAAATTTCTATACTGGCTTTCTATGTTACTCGGGTTTGAGTACTTATGTAGAACATGGTGACATGATGAAGTATTGGATTCAGGCTTTTTGGCTCAAATGTAATTCTTATGCATTTATCAGTATCATATTTCTATGGATTTTCGGAATGTTGAGGATTCAACTTAGTTGCTTGATTTGAAAAATTCAATGTTTGTTAGCTGTGCTAGCGATAGTGTTGTCTATCTTCTTAGCGAGGCATAGTTTACCTTAAATTTACTCAGTTAACATGATCATCTAGGAATATATGTACCTAGGGTAAAAGATTTTTGAAAAAGAATTATTTGCTTATTGGATTTCTGTAATTTTAGTACCGTCTGAACGATGTCTGATGGAGTCCACTAAAAAAATTATTAGGAAAGGGCGATACAAGTCTGATGGTGAAATTTGTGTGTGGCTGCAGCATAGGTGATTGCATAGGCTGTCCAGTTTGCTTTTAGAATTTAATTAGCTGATTTGGAATTCTGGACATAGAATTTTTGAGCACATTGGGGACAGCCGGACCAATGTTTCATAATTGCATCATGGTGATGGATATGGGAAGGCCTAGGGATGTGATTTATAGGCTCATGCTCTTCGTTTTGACTTTTGAGGGTGTTGAACAGCTTTTGATTTTGGACCTTGGAAGCATAAAGGAAAGTGGAACTCTTGTATAGTTGTATATATCTTATCTATCTGAGGTTGTTTCATTTTGTATATTTGGGTTCATAGTTGGGTATATGCTGGGAGAAATTTGTCCTTGTACTCTTGTAGACCTATATGCATTTACTTTGCCTGTATAATTGCACCGTGTTCCTTGTGGAATGATTTAGACTCTAGAGTATCCCGACTCTGGGAAACTTGCTATATAGACCAAGGTAATGACAATTATATTGTTTTGTTCTTTACAGTGTATGTGTTTTCTGTTATGTAGTAATATAATGCTTGTTTATTTTTGAGGATATAAGGCCTGTTGGAAGGCTTGGTTAGGATTTTGTATGGTAGGCTGGTAGCTTAGTCCAATAAGTGCAATTTCTGGGGTTATGTAAAAATCGTGGGATTGGATTATTAAGAAATTTTATTGTACTTTTAGTTCACCTAGGAATATTTATATTTATATTCTTTCGAGGATTGTATGATGAATGGATGATATTATGCACACTATATGTTTGCTCCCAAGGCTTTCACTCTGCTAGTCGAGCCGCCCCCGATTAATATCCTATGTTAATCAATTTCGTTTATATCGTGTTGGAATTTGTGTAATATTCATAATTTATTGGTGTTAGCTGTCTATGGTGATTTGGCTTTAACAATTTGTGTGCTATCGTGACTTAACGTTTATTGAGGGCTATTGACGGTGTTTCAAGTTTTCTTCCTCCATCGAAGATGCTCAAGCTTTCTTCCTCCCTCCATTGAAGATGCTTAAGCTTTCGACCTCCCTTGAAGATGCTCAAGGTTTCTTCCTCCATTGAAGATGTTCAAGGTTTCGTCCTCCATTAAAGATGTCCAACCATCTCCATTGCCACCGTATTCCCGGCAGCAAAAGCCATTGAAATAAACGAAAACCCTAAGATTAACGGGCGAAACAAATTGCATGTTCAACCCTAAAGGGTAGGATTTTGTTTATCATCATCTTTGACTTGTCAATTGACCATTATCTCTCCTCTTAATGTTCAATATTGAGTGATGAAGGAGTGATATATAATGTTTTATTAGGTAATTTTTTTTGGTTATAGCAATTATACCAAATGAAATACATCATTGAAGAATATTACCTTTGGAACCCAATCTTCCTTTGATTTTTCGATTTTTGCTTTGATGTTCAACCCCGAAGGATATGAATATTACCGGTAACTCAATCTTCTGTTACCCCTCTAAGTCTCTAACGCTAGTTATCTTTCTTTGTTAGTATTGTTCACGTAGAGTTAACTTTAATACCCCTAGAAACCATCGTGAAATGACCTATATAATCCCATATAACAAGTTTTGTTAATATGGGAGATATAAACTTGGATTTTCTCCTGTAGTCAATTAGGCTTTTCACTTAATTAACTATTGTAAGTGATATAATACATAGAATGATTTTGTGTGGATTGTATGTGTTTTTATCGATTGAAGCTGATCTTTATTGTTCGAAATTGATTTTTATTGATTTGATATTTCCCATTGCCAGTGGGTTCCTGCTGCATGTCTCAAATCTGGATAAAGGAGAAGGGTCATGAGCTAGTGTAAAAATTTGTCACATTCCATGAACAATGAGCCACATTGATTCAGAGTAGTATTGTCTTCGTGTTGGTTTATGTAGCCAACATCATTTGTGGGATTAAGACATTCATGGAGAAGAAGAGAGTGCTTACAACATGTAGGCTTCTATAAGTATTTGGTTGGTTTGGCGAAAACAAGGTAGTTATATATGATGAATTCTGGTTTATAGTGGTTATGCCACACATGCTTCTCTCTGAGATCTGCAACGCTGCACACATCACTTAAGTAAATAACGTATAAATGTGGATTTAATTTGCAAGTATGTATTAGTGTTAATATTTCAGAAGAGCGAAGGGCACGTAAAAATGGATTAATTTGAGTTCAACTAAACCCACATTTAGCCCAATTTAATTCGAGTCCACCTTAGTTAATTTTTATGATTGACATTTTGTTAATATTGAAGTAGCGGGTTTGCCTACAATATTCACATCAAAACAACTACTTCAAGTAGAGGTTCAAAGTCGCTACTTGAAGTATTGGTTTTACTGTGAACCGTGTAATAAAATATGCACTTATATAGTTATCTACATCTTTGCGACTAGAGCAACAATTTTTGTCAATCATAAAGATTAAGTTGAATTTTCCAATTTAATTTGACACAATATAGGCAATCCTAACTTAATGAACAACACATTCTTTCTCATCGTAGAACGTTATATTCTCTCTTATCTTGCTTGTCATTATTAGCCATGGTGCCGTTGATTTATTGGGTTTTCTATGTTGTGTTCTTCTAAATCGAAACTTCTACACGGTGTCCTTAAATTTAATTAACTTTATTAGTTTTAACCCTGTGTTAACTTAACGTTAAACACTGTTAATTGATTGCTAACTCCAATAATCCTACATGGAAAAGATAACTGAATCAATTAATCAACTAGGAATATTACGTTCTCTGACCCATAAATATTAATAAGGATTTATATCTACTGGAAAATTGTAGGGTTTTATCATAAAGAGCGCTATGTACTAATTTCTAATTTTCTATGTTCTCTGCATCCAAAGTGAAATGTTTATTGGACAACACATAGTTAGACCTTGTGTTCCTATATGATCCTTTGTTAGCATCTTCACTTGTTGATGAGTTGTCGATCTTTTACCCTCAGAAACACTACCCTTATTTAGAGACTAGTATATGATGTGTGCCTACAAACATCACAAGAAGTCAGGTGAAGAAAACTAGCTCAAATACTTAAGTATATATGTATTTTCTATGTATTTTGTCCCTTTTTTCCTCTGTTTTTTGTACAGCTTGTTCTTGTTCTTGTTGTCTTTTTTTTTTTTATTATTATTTTTTTTTATGCAGCCTAGTTGTTAGCTTTGTTAGTGGCTAGCTTGTTGTATATATTGTAACCTTTTAGGTTTACTGATCCCTAAGGTGATTGAGCGCCGTTTTTACTGAAATATCAGAAAAACATTCTCCAAATATTCCTCGAGAGAAAGGCAAACTCAACCTAAAAATCAAAGCTTTACAAGAAAACTGAACAAAATATTCAGTTTTCCATATGGTATCAGAGCTACTAGGAAAATTCTCCTAAAAGCTCAAATTTTTCTCATTTTTCTTCAATCAGGTCCTTCTTTAATCTCCAAAATGCCAGAAAATGAATCTTCTGATGCTCAGATGAACTATCAGGATCCCTTGTTCTTATCACATTCAGATAATCATGATTCTTCCTTGACACTAATGCTGTTTGATGGAGGTAACTTCATGATTTGGAGCAGAATTGTGAAGTTAGCTCTAGGGGCTAAGAATAAGAAAGGTTTTATTGAGGGTAAGATACCAAAACCAGCAAGTGGTCACAAAGATTACAACAGATGGGAAAGGAGTGACTATATGGTGAGATGCTGGATTTTTAGATATATGACAGATCAAGTAGCAGGAGATTTGAGCTTGGTTCAAACTTCCAAGCAGCTGTGGGATGAGTTGAGTGAGAGATACTCTGAGAGCAATATACCTCTCTTATATCAGCTCAAGAAGGATCTTGGTAAGCTGGAGCAAGAAGACTTATCTGTGGGAGATTATTACTGCAAGTTGAAGAAATTTTGGGATGAAATATACAATATTAAAGCAATGCCAGAGTGTACTTGTGGGATTGTGGCAAAGTGTACATGTAGCATGTACAAGAAAATGTTGTCCATGGTAGAGACAAAAAGGTTGATTCAGTTCTTGATGGGATTGAATAGAGGTTACCAGAACGTTAGAGAGAACATTCTCAGTATGGACCCTCTACCTAGTGTCAACAAAGCTTTCCACTTGGTGCAACAAACTAAGAAGCAGAAGAAGGTATCAGGTGATATGCAGGACATAGCAGAGGCTTCAACTTTTCAATTAACAAAGGAAGTCAGGCAATATGTCTCTGCCAAGCAGAATGACAGTAGGAACCAGGGGAAGGAAGGAAGAAAGCCAAAAACTGATGTGTTTTGTGATCACTGCAAGAAGAAAGGCCATGATAGGTCTGGTTGCTTTGAGATTTATGGGTATCCACACTGGTATAAAGGGAAAAGAACAGCAGAAAATTTTGGCAAGCTAGAAGAAGAAATCGACTCCTCCTTAGATGAGGAAGAGTATGAGATTGGAAGTGGCTCTATGAGCAAACCTGATGCAGGAATGATTTCAGCTGTGGTCAAGGAGGTAATGAGAGCCTTCTAGGAGAAGCAAGGAGCAGGGAGCAGTCAAGGAAAAGGGAATGCTATGAGCAACTTTGCAGGTATAATCTCCTACTCTAATGTTGCTAGTTTTCATGAAAACTTTGATTGCAAATCCTGGATTATTGACTCTGGGGCTCTAGACTATATGACTGGAAATAAGGATATGTTTCATAGCTTGAGAAGCCTTTCTAGACCTGTTAAAGTGGTTTTACCAGATGGAACTGTAAAGAGGGTGGTTCAAATAGGGACTATGAAATTAGGGAAGAAGATTATTCTCTATGATGTCTTGTTCATACCATAGTTCAAGAATAACTTATTATCCTTATGTAAGATAATAAGATGCAGTAACATCAAAGTGATTTTTGATGAAAATGGGTGTGTGTTTCAGGACCCTACTAATGGAGAAAGCTTAGCTTTTGGGAAGGTTACTAATGATCTGTACAAGTTCAGTTTAAGCAAGCACTTGAGGAGTGAACCATCAACAAGCAAGACTGTCTTAAAAGCAAGCTTGGTAAATAATTCTGAAGTTTTATCTTGTAATGATACAATTTCACTAGATGTTATGCGTGCTAGCTTGGACATGGATCTTTGTCCAAAATGAAACACTTGGATTTTTGTAATTGCAAATCTGTCAAGAATTTTTTGCTGTGATACTTGTTCAGCTTCTAAACATCATAAGCTTCCCCTTCCTCCTAGTACTAGTATAGCTTCTGCAATCTTTGATCTCTTGCATATTGATCTATGGGGACCATACATGACTCCAAATATAGATGGTTTAACATATTTTTTTGACCATTGTAGATGACTATAGTTGAGCAACTTGGGTGCATCTATTAAAAAACAAATAAATTGTGAGAAATGTGATAGAAAATTTTCTTGCATATACTGAGAACCAATTTGGTTCAAGAGTCAAGATTATTAAATCTGATAATGGGACAGAGATAGTCCAATCTGAATGTTTTAAAATCTTTGCTAACAAAGGGATAACACATCAAACAAGCATACCTGGGTCCCACAACAAAATGGGAGGGTAGAGAGAAAACATAGGCACCTCATTGAAACAGCAAGAGCTCTGAGAATCCATGTTGGATTGCCTAAAATATTTTGGGGAGAGTGTGTCTTGGCAGCTACTCACATCATTAATCTGCTGCCAAGTGCAGTGATAGGGTGGAAAACTCCTTTTGAAAGGTTATGGAAAAGGAAGCCTGATTATAAGCACCTCAGAACCATAAGATGTCTTTGCTATGCTAGTGAAGCAAAGAAGAATGGTGATAAGTTTGCAGAGAAGGGAATTAGAGCTGTTCTAATTGGATATCCTGTAGCTCAAAAAGGCTACAAGCTTTATGATCTGCAGAAAAAGAAAGTTTCAGCAGCATACATGTGAAGTTTAAGGAGCATATTTTTCCCTATTTGCACCTTAAGAGTGATTTCAATGACAATAAAGGGATTTACAATAATATACCCTTAGTCAATGAAGATATCCAGGTGGATCTAGGTGAAAGTGGAAATCTAGAGGATGAAGAGATACAGGAAGAAGCAGCTGATGATATGTTTTTCCAGGAAGAACAACAACCTGAAACTGAAGAAAATATGGAAGAATTTATGCAGGAAGCAGAGCAGTTGACTCCTGGAGTCAGAAAATCTACTAGGGACAGAAAGATTCCTAGCAAGTTCAAGAATTTTGAAGTTGATCTTCCTCCAAGCAATACAATTGATCATGATGATCAATCTCCCTCTTTTAGTGCTCATAAGCTCATTGAGAGTGAGTTTTATGACAATGATTACATTACTTCCCTTAATAATGTGATGAAGGTTGTTGAACTAATAAATTATTCTCAAGCTTCAGTCAGCAAAGAATGGACAAAAGCAATGGAGGAAGAATTGAATGCTCTAGATAATAACAAAACTTGGGAATTTTCAGATCTCCCTGCAGATAAAAAGGCTTTGGACTCGAAATGGGTGTCAGGCTTAAGGCTAGATGATAAGTGACTTTTATGTCACTTTTAGGGTGTTTATTGAGTCGTTTTCCGGCTTATTTTCCAATAATTTAACCCCTTTTTATCCTTTATTTCTATTATTTGCTTATTCTCGCCTTTTATCTTTATTATGAGTATTTTTGTAATTTTTAATAGTTTTTAGTTTATTTTCGTGTTTTATTTTATTTTTCTTACTTTTAATGTTTGTAGTTTAATTTCTTAGTTTTTATTTTTAATAATTTCTCTTTTTATCTCGTTTTCTTATTTATTTTAGTTTTGTATTTTATTTTATTTTACTTCGTTTTATTTTATTATTTTAGTTTTTGTCCCTATTTCTCTTGGTTTTTTTGGTTGTGTAGGTATGTTTTCGGGTTGAAGCACGGATTTCAAAGTGAAATGGTTTGCATTGGAAGTTCGGGACCCGAGTCAATCAAGTTCAACAAAATTCTTACAAGTTGCTGCCTCTAACCTCTTGCTGCTGCCAGCTTATCATACACCACACCATTCCTTAACCTCCACCATACAGCTTCTCCCCTGCTGTTCCCCTGCATCCACGCAACTCCCTTACCACCACACACCACCAGCCACAACAACAACAATAACATCAATGGCAACAACATCTCTTCGCAAACCACAGTACCAGCCACCGCCAAAACCGCCATCAATCACCACCAAACCACCTCCAATCACCACCACCCAGAACCACCGTTAGCCACCAATAAAAGCCGACACAGCAGCGGCCAAAAATCGCAGCAACCCATGTCCAATTCAACTCAATCAGCAACAGCCCCAAATTAGAGCAAATTCAAAGCAATTCAAGTTCAATTGGGTTCGAGCAAACCCAATAAGAGTTCGGTCGAAGTTCGAGTCAGAAACTTTTGAGGTTTTGTAATTTGAAGAGATGTGGTCGAACACTCACATGGTTCGACCGAACTAACCTCGTAGTCCGGCCGCACCAACCCATGGCTCGACCGAACCATTTCACGAGCTTCGCGCGTGACTTTTAATGAAAATCGGACGGCTGCGATGTGATGATGCTTGATGATGATTTTCGATGAAGGGTGAAGATGATGCGTGATGGTGATGAAAGTTCAGAGCAACCACGAAGAGAAGGGGATTTGGGGTCTGATGGATTCGTGGGTTTAAGGGGGAATTGGGGATTTTTGGTTTTCTTTTCTTTTTATTTTTTTAGTTTTGTTATTTTTATTTATTTTAATTAGTTTAATTTCTATTTTATTTTCTTTTATTTTATTTTCTTAGCTTGTATTATAAATACCCCTTTGGGATTATTTTCTCATAACTTTTCAATCAACATTTTATTTTAGATAGATTAGATTAGTTTAGCCTAATTTTATTTTCTCTCTCTTAGGGTTAGTTTAGGAGTAGTGTAGAGAGAGAAAGCTTGGATTTCCATGGATTTTTTTTGAGGTTGAAGAAGCAACTTTGTGGAACTTCTTCTCATCTATTCAATGAGCATTTTCTAACTTTCTCTCATCTTTATTTCTTTGCTTAATTCTTAGTTTTATGCTTTTTGTTTGTTGATTTGAGTAGATTAATTAGTTTATTTGTTTAATCTTGTTTTTATTCTTATTTTACCTTGTTTTCCATGTCTTTCTTCATTATGTTAGCTTAGGTCTTGTTCTAGGGAATTGGATGAAGGTTATATTTGATTAGGGGATTTTTCCCCACCAATCACCATCTGACAAGTGGACCAATCAGGTTCCGCCATGTGTCCGTCACATGGGCCAATAGGAGTCTGCCACGTGTCAAGCAATGATCCGTCCACTATGGACCAATTACGACACGACACGTGTCCTTCCCATGACACCTGGGATAACCGGTCACCTAGGCCCAACTTCCGAGGGAAGCCCAATCAGCCCAAGGTTAACCTAAACCTAGATTGACACGTTTCCCGAGGTTATAAATACCTCCCTTAATCCTCATTAAGGGAGATTACGCTAAAAACGCAGATTACACACATTAAACACTCTCACCTAGAGAGACCCAATCACTTTAATTTCCGCATTAATTACTCCTTAATCAAGTACTAACTTGACCGTCGGAGGCGGATCTCCAATCATCCGGAGCATCCGTTTGTTTTGCAGGTACAGGCGTCCGGTTCCAGTCTCGGAATTGTAAATCTCCCGCAGGACATCAGAAAACCCCGAAACATCTTGGCGCCGTCTGTGGGGAGAGTACTTCTGAGATGGCATCCACGTTTGTACCGGCTCCTGAAAAGAGACGTCCCCTGGACGACCCTCTAGTTCAGTCGGACCACGATACTGAGAATGAATTTGAAGTTGAAGCTCACACAGCTTCAGACGGGACCCTAAGGGCCCGACGTACCCGTCATACCGAAAGGAGGGAACGGGAACATCTTCAAACTGGAAGCGAGCCAGCAGGCGCACCGCCTGTTCGGCAGCAGCCGACTGATGGATCTGCTCCCATCACAAGGAACGAACTCATGACCTTCATGAGGGACTTCAAGGGAAAAATTCAGGAGTTGATCAACAAGAAGCCGTCTGCTCTGGACAAGGAGCAGTCGGCTAAGAAACCCTCCACTTCACGGAAGAGGAAACCAGTTCAAGGGCGAGAGGCGACCCCTCATCCTAAATCTAGGAAGTGGGAGCCATCTGCCCTTGATTTCACAAAATACCGTTTCCCTACTCCAGGAAATAGGAAACATGTTCGTCATATTCAGGCGGACGGGTCGAGGAAAACATACACAGACGCTCGGCTACTGCTAAAGCAGAAGAAGAGTGACCGATTGTCAGAGTCGACCTCTACTTCAAACTTCCAAGACAGTCTGCGAAATACCTCAATAAGGCATACTCAGTCGTATCATTAGGGTCAGTCAGGCGGCACCTCCCGTCAGTCCGGCTTTCATAGCGACCAGGCGGTACCAAACTTACCGTTTGTACCGCAACAACAGTATTTTTTACAGCCACCTCCGTTTGGTGGACGTACAGCAAAAAATGTCCAACCTATGGACTGGCAGCTACGGTTTCTTAGACTTGGTGAACAG